AGTAGTTCATTTTTTGTATTCGCAAGCGTTGACATGACGCACACGCGCGCGCAGTTGCTATAATTCGTCGGATCGGTGCGCGACATCGCGTACCGGTAGCTGCAATCGGCTCACTGAGAACGTGTCTCAGACGCTAAATTCAGGCCCAATTCAAAACATGATTCAGCAACTTTTGATTTGAAATCGAAATCCTAGAATGTTGTTTTTCTCGAAATATTCAGCTGAAGCTGAGCTGAAACTTCATCAGGTTAGTTGTTCAGCACCCTTCTTTAGAGATTTTGAGCACTTTTGTTGCTTCAAACGAACAAAATGCACAAATTACAAATGATGGACTATAGTGATTCATGTAATAATGCAAGTGATTCATGTAATAACTATCAGAAAGGTGAAAATTTCATGGGCTTTTCGCACCAATGGCAGCCACATTACTCTGCATGAGCATGTATTGTTGTTAATTATGTAGCCATGTCGATACACTTTATGATGTTCTTGACCTTGTACTTTAGTAAGTTTCCACAGGGAGAAATGGCTTTAAGGGAAATAACTATGTTATCAGGAGAATCCCTGTAGAAGGTCAAGAACATGTACTTAAGTAAGTTTCCACACGGAGAAATGGCTTTAAGGGATATAACTAAGTTATGTAGCCATGAATTTCAGTCTAAAGATAATACTTGATAGGTTTTGAAAATGGAAGTATTTTTGACTAAAGTTTATGAGCACCGATGTTTTTGGTAATAATGAACACACTACAGAAGTGCGTTTGGTGCCATAATGACCACTGTTAAAAAGTTGGGAAAAGTCACAAAATTTCATGTTGATCAGGCAAAATTTGGAGGACGCTTCAACTTAAAAAGTACTCCAGACCCTCACTACATGTACATAGGTCCAAGTCAAGTCAGAGTGAAATTCATTCAATCAATTGACGCTGTTTTCTCTCAGAATTTTTACTGGAGTGATCGATCCTTGTTTTAAAGTACATGTATTTCAATATAAACAAATAAGAGTTATTTGCTCTCTTAATCGCCTGATCTTTTCAGGTTTGAGAATAAAAATAAACATTTTGTTCATCACACATTCAGTGTTATTCCAAAATTCTGTAGGTTGCTTCAAATAAATGCATGAAAAAAAATGTTTCCTGTAATCTATCATAGCTCATTCTCTCTATTAAACAATGCCCTTTCAATTATTTGTTTATTTTGTGCTTTATATATCATTAATAAATACCTTGGAGAGTTGATGGTTTCTGATTGGTCCAGACTCGATCACGTGGCCGGGCATTAACGGTGATAATGGACCGGCTTCAAAGATATAAGCGAATAAATGGCCCCTGAACCAGCATTGATCAAGCCCCGTTCAGCCCCATGCAAGCCAATGATTGGTCAAAATACAGTAACAGTCCTGCGGTAGCTTGTAGCAATAGAGCACTGCACATGCGCTCAACCCCCATCGCGTGAGACTGACGCGCGCGTACGCAACACAGTTGCCAGGGATGCGTGCGTGCACGTGCGTAAGGAAGTTTTGAAACGACATCGTACAGCAGTGCAGTATATACTGAGGATGTTTACGACGAAAGCGTAGATCTATGATTTATTTTCTTTGAAACACTTCACCCACCGACATATTTACCTTTCCTAAACCAAGCATCTTTGTAATTCCGGACACAAGGAAAACGAGATTTCAGCTTCCTCCATCAGGTAAAGATATGAAAACATTGTTGTAATTTGTTTCGCTACGGCTGCAGTTTCTGTTGAGTTTACGTCGTTATAGCTGTTAAGCTAAAATATGGCCCATGAACATGAACACAAAAAAGTCTGGAAATATCGCCGGAAAAAAGTCACAAAATTGGAGCATTTTAACTGTTTATTTCGTTCAAAAGGTATTTATTAATGGGAATAACAGTGTGAGGATCCGGTCTTCACTGCGTGATAATGACCGGGTGTGGGGGTGACCGCTGTTAATGGGCCTCGACTTCGTCTCGATCCATTAACAGCGGTCACCCCCACACCGGCTCCTCACACTGTTATTCCCTTATTATACTATACTTACAATCTGTTCTCGTGATTTTGTAATGTATTGTTAGTTTGTTTATCTTTGTCTTGTGTTGTTTGTCTGTAAAGGTATTCTACATAAGAAAAGAACATTTTCATGCAGATTAAAACATTGAACCCACTCGTACTATGCGCTTTGTCCCTATAAGAGGATTGGAAAAACAATTCAAAACTTCCTGGCCGTAACAATAAATCTTACATTGATTTCAGCTTTATCTGTGGTAGATGAAGTACATATGTAATCGATTATGCAAACTTGGAGGCTAAGAACCTTTCCATTAACCGACCCGACAATTTGTTACAGAAACTGGCAAAAGCAAATATTTATCTTTTATATTTGTTCGGACTCCTTTTGTGTATTCATTACTCTTTTCGTATCACATTGTAACCAACTGCTGTGTTGACTGCTAGATACAGGTATTAAATGTTCAGAATTAAAAATTGTAAGCACATCATCACCAGAAAACAAAATACAAAATGGCATCTGGTATATTGACATTAAGCACAATTTGAAAACAATCTGAATTGGACAAGCATCCACTGCGTGCCCTATGACGTCATGTCTGCAGGAAATCGCTTGCCATCCAAACATAAAAATCAAGCATACTTTGCATGCTGTTTTGCCCACTTCCATTGAACATTTTTGCCAATACTTTGAAAATATTAACAAGAAATATACATACATGAACAGTGCGGCCAACAACTATTTGCTAATAATTGGATTCACATGACCAAACATCAAATTTCTGTTAAACCCATGGATGAATTTACCCTTGCTGCATTGGTAGCTCTTAGTGGTAGCTCTTAGACTCGGGTCCTTCAATCGGGGAGTGCCTGGTGTTTGTGCTTCAGGTTGAACCCGGTGTGACTAGATTCCGGGAGCAGTGGCAAAAAAGGCAATCGCGGCACCACTGTCCGTGTATGTCACAGTTGAAAACATATCACACAACAAGTCTGCAAATAAAAGAATTAAAGAAAACCAGCAAAACAGGAACTTCACGTGTAGATAGGTTAGAAATGGTACGATACTCAGCGGTGAATACATAGACCTGAAATGAATGCAATGGCTTGGCATTCGTTATCCTTTTTTATAGCAGTACACGCATCAGTACACAAGACCTCAATAGTCAGATTAAGAAAGAAATGGAATGCAACTAACGCCCAAACATGCCAGACATTGAGGGCTATTTATTTCTGCCCTCCAAACGAACAAAACTAAATTTTGGCAAAGGACTACATGTACTTTAATGGCACTAACCGCTGTTTGACCTCTCTCTCCCTCCCTTTGGGATAAATTGAACTCCAGCAAATGGCGGCGGAGGATTGTCATAAAGTATTTCATGTATTAAGTTGTAACCAAGTCATTTTTTTCCCAAGTCAAATCAATTCCCTAGTCAAATTTTAGCTAGTCACGTCAAGTCTCAAGTCAGTTTTTTTCCAAGTCAAGTCAAGTCTCAAGTAATTTGTTTTTTAAATATTAGATGCACATACTATATGTACAGGAACCAGTTTATGTGTTTGATGACGGAGTCATAGTAGAGATGGGAACGGGGTTTATCAAAGCATGCATCATGTAAGGAGATTAATAAAAATATAATACTTTTTCAAACATCTTTTCTCAAACACCTTATTTGTATTTAAAGAGTCTAAAAAATGCATTTTGATATAATATTTTCAAATTTGTTCCATCATGTTGAATGTTTGAAGGACGTCTGACAAAATGTCCTTCCGAACGTTTTCATTTTATGCATGATGTATATTCTTTTTGTTTTATGATGGATTGGGGGTAGCAACCGTTTTCCAGTTGTTTAAACCCAAGTTGCATTTAGCACGCTAAAGGTAAACCACTCGATGTGTACCTGTAGCCTATGGTCTCTGTGGAATGACCGCTCAGACTACACATGGCACAAACTGCACCATAACACACGCATGGTGCTAGTCACGTACATGACATGTGGCAGGCTCAGGATTCCCAGCTATCCCATGCTGGTTGCTAATTCGCTATGTATATCAATGATTCTTTTCAACCAATTATGCTATTGCGCACAAACGCCCAGAGGTTTGTGTTTTTTTATTGTTTGGGTAACTTTAAGAACATGTTAATGTCAGCAAGTCAAATTTATTCGAGTCAAGTCAAGTCCCAAGTCATATTTTTTTCAAGTCAAGTCAAGTCTCAAGTAATTTTTCCCAAAGTCAACTCAAGTCTCAAGTCCAAAAAAAAAAAGACTTAAGTCCAACTCTACTCCGAGTCAGCGACTCAAGTCAACAACACTGTGTATTGGACACTTCGGAGCTATTTGTATGTTTTCAATTGTTTTCCCGAAAAGAAATGTGTTCTTTTGAAGCCTGTGCATGAAATTACTGTATGCAAAATATTAAGATTAAGCCATTTATAATAATCATGATAAAGAAAATAACAGACACAGTTCGCCACCTTGATTGCTGAAGGAATTCCAGTTCTTGTTATGGACAAGAATTTAACAGCACTTGTCTTAATGCACTTGTCTGTTTCATAGTGCAGTACTTCTTCTATGCGGTATACTGTAAAGGGAGCTAGCCATTTACCCGTAAAGATCTATTTCCAACAGCACCATGGAGCTTGCTTGACTTGATAATGGAACAGTGAAGAGTGTCTCACGACATGAAAACCGCCAAAATATTTTCCAGCCATGAGGTGAACTAGAAATCCTGTAATTTACAAGTGGCAATCTGTGTCTGGTGAGAATGGAATTGATAAAAGACCAACGTAACTCATGTTGTTCCCATGTTTTTCTGTAAGTAGAAATTGCCAAGCATGTAATAGGCCTATTAATTTTTAAGAACCACATCAGGAATCCACCTTTAATCTGTACACATATTATGTACTGTATAATATTTGCATTTTGTCATAATCGACTTGACCATAATAGTGACAACCAAAAATGTATTCTTCTTTTGTCACCTTTTATGCAGGTGGGGATGTCATATCTTCTATATTTGATGATGATGACCCAAGTAAAGAACGAGAAGCTGAGATGCTGCTTGAATATATTGAACACTTTAATGAATTATTTGAAGAAGGAAAATACAAAGATGCTGCGATGCATGCAGCAAGCAGTCCAAAAGGAATACTGAGGAACTGTGAGACTCTTTCTCGTTTCAGAGGTAGGACAAAGTGTTTACAATAGACATTTTGGTTTACAAATGTAAGCTACACACTGAACAATGGTCATTCCTTTTTACCAGAGACTGAATTTCACAATGCCCATGCTGCAGATCGGCATACTGATTTAAATTGCCATACCAGTGTTCTACCACCTAAGGGGGGGGGGGGGGGGGCACAGTCTGTCGATGTCCTTTTTCAAGGGTTGCTAGTCAGAAGCCATAATACTCCAGTGGATATGTGACAAAATTGTGCACTTTTTCATAAAAGCGTGAAACTTGGCACATGTGTTTATATTAATGATAATGTTTTAGATGTGGAGCTATTGCAAATTCACCCTTTTAGGGGCTCGGCAGCCATTTAAAAAAAGGGGGAGGGGACACTTATCGTGCCGCAGTGAAAACATTGTTCACACTTGTCACAAAACTTCACAAAGACATAACTATATAGATTATAAGTGTTTTCCAGATGTGGAGCCCCACAAAAGCACCTTTTTGGGGGCGTGGCAGCCATTTAAGAAAGGGGGTAATTATTATGCTTACCTTGGAAAAAATTGTGCCCACATTTCATAAACGAATGACACTTCCCACAGAGGTTTATATCAAGGAGAAAAAAATCCATATGTTCCATTTAGCCAGGGATAACACCAAAGTCATTATGCTAGCAACATAAGCAATGCTGCAAAACCGAGAAATAGCAAACAGGGATCACTCAAAGAGGATAGGCCTACAGCTTTTATTACAGGGTTTTCAAATGAGCCACAAAGGAAGGTCGCAGGTTCAAACCCCACTCCAGTCAATTTCCGTGTTCACAGACAATATTTGCGCTATTTGCAGTTAAAAAAAGTATATTTCTCATTAAAAATTTGATTCAAACAAATAGACTGATCAGGTCCATCAAGACATCACTTTGAGTGTTGTAATGTCTTTCCAAAGTTTCATGGCGATGGGCCTTGTCTTTTTTGCAGTGTTGGAGGTCTCGAGCTCGGCCTCGAGGCCGGCCTCGAGGCCGATTTTCATGGCCTCGGCCTCGGCCTTGGCCTCGGCCTTGGCCTCGGCCTTGGCCTCGGAGGTGCAAGGCCTCGGCCTTGGCCTCGGCCTCGGAGCCTTCCGGCCTCGGCGAATCGGTCGAGGCTGGCTCGAGGCCGCCCATTTTGATGTGTTTTCTATTCTAATTAATTTTAATTTTTTACCGAATCAAACCCTCGAGATTCTGCCGCAGTGGGTTCCGTGAAACGAACGCATATACAATGTACGCACAAATGAACTGGAAATGGTTGCATTGAACGTACCCACGTACGTAGCATCTTCGCCTAGCCTGCGCTTCAGCTTTCCACGTGCTTGCAAGCGTTATAACTGTTACCGCGTGCCAGACTACATAAGCCTGGCACCAATCCCATTTGCGTACAATAACATTTGGTAGTAGACTAGTCTGGTTGCAGTGTTGTACAAAATTTTCTCGTTTCGCCTCTGTACCCCGACCTTTAAAAATGAATTGCGGCAAGGTGCGGCAAGCTTGATCATTTCTTTTTATAGGCCACTGTTTCAGTAAAAGTCTGAACTTTCTGGGTACGATCGAGTGTACTAGTCCGTAGCATTTGTTTTCATAAAGATATGATAAAAACAATTACGATTTATCAAGTGGATTTTATTTTTACACGGTGATTTAAATGAAAGTTCCAGCTCGCACGGTAATGTTTGGCGCAAATGGTCGATATGGAAAGGTCGATATGGAAAGCGCGATTTCAGAATTCGTTTTTCCATCCAAATGAATGCAAAGTTCTGAATGAATGTTTTAATAATACGAGTCAGTATTCCTCGTGGTACCAGGATACTTTTTGTATTTTAGAGCCATGTTGATACTTATTACATGTATAAGCACGGTTTGATATTGACTAATTTTGCGTGGTTACAGATATACGGCCAAAACCTGTGGACTCCCTACCTCTTGCCATGATCTTAACATTCTTCGAAGCCATTGGATTCAAATCGGATGATCCGAGAATTCATGGTCATTTTGATGAACTGAGTGATATCATGCACGCATGGTCCGTGTTGCCGTGTTGTTTGGAGCAGGATTGGCCATTGCCAGACTTTGTCTGGTACCGCGGTATTAACAGTGATAATGCGTGGACACTTATCCCGTTGTGTGGAGCGGGATTGGAACTATGCTTTGCCCGTGCGTAACGGCGGGCCGTCTGGCATTGTCTGGTCGCATCGCGGTGTTTGCTCGGCGCGCGCCAGGACAGTGCGAAGGTCGGGGGTCATGGTCGTAACTTTTTGGTTATGAGTGGTAAAAACCTGATTCAAAAATCAAGTTGTTGTTTATTTAATGGGGATTCCTATGATATTAAGCATTTTGATAGGTTTTGAAAATAAGATTTATAAAACATGCTAAAAGTAAATGATGTAAATCTTACAGAATAGAAACTCAAAATTTGGCCATTTAAATTGTTGTATCTCCAAAGGGCAAACACCTATGAGCCTGATTCAAACGCCATTGATTTTGTTGTGTAATTTGCTTTCAGTGATACAAAACTTGAGATTTCTTTCTTTAAAAAATAAAATTCGCCGGACTCTCTACAAGAGGAAACCCATTGCAAACTGTAAATTTGTAAGCCAGGCACTCCAAAACTCAGTGAATTCAACTAAAAGATGTTAAAACTCCAACATAATCTTAGCCTTGTTTTAGTGATTTATATTTTATTACGTGTTTTGATAGCTGGCCTCGGCCTTGGCCTTGGCCTCGGAGGTGGTGGCCTCGGCCTTGGCCTTGGCCTCGCGGTTGTGGCCTCGGCCTCGGCCTTGGCCTCGGAGGTTGTGGCCTCGGCCTTGGCCTCGGCCTCGGAGGTTGTGGCCTCGACTACAACACTGCTTTTTTGCATGATCCATAACACTTATGACATCATCATTACGTCACTTGTTCATGCCCACTTTTCTATGTAAAATAACTTTGTGCCAAGTTGTGTGTTGGAGATAAAGCTGCAACCAAATTTCTTCTCAGTTCAGTAATGGGCATTTCCACACTAATGGGCCAATTAGATAAGTTTATGGGTGTTGCGTATAAAGGGTAAAAGATGAGCTAGTATTTTCTTCAGGTTTTTTTCCTATACCTTGTTAAGTTGAAAGTGACTAGGAAAAGACAAGACAATAGATGATACCTTGTTTTGTTTGAAAATAACAGGCATCTTTTCTGTGTGATACGTATGTAATGTGGACAGACACACTGCTAGGAAAAAGGTGCTTAGGACAAATTCAGTTTCTAATAGGCACTTCCAGTGACATTATTAAGCCATTTTACATTGTTATCAAGCAACAATATAACAGTTTTCACTCTAGCTTCAAATTTATGATGTGATTAGGGTTACGTACGAACAGGGACAGACATTTTGTGACAAATGTCCTGTCTGTTCGTATGTATAAATCCTGATTATAAAATATCAAATAATTCTTCACACTGACTCTGAGTTTTCTAGGTTTTGACTGATAAGCATACCTCCAGGGTACATCTCCTTAAAAATAAGTCAACATTAGGGGATCATTAAACTTATGCTTACTTTGTGACTTTATCTAAAATGTCTGTCCTTCGTTACATACGTAACACTTTTAAAAACAATATCCACTATATTTTCTAAAATACAAAACCAGTTAAACCATTTGCAGGTGAGGACATTTGTTCGAAGCTTGCAATATTTACAGCAAAAATTGAGAGACCATGATCGTAGTTTTATCATGAAAACTTAAAGGTCTTCTCAAATGTCACCTTTTGGGCCCATTAGTGTGGAATATCCTTAGCCTTCTTTTCTGTTTCTGCCCGGGTGAGTTTCATCTTCTGAAGTTCCGCTTGCACTGTTCTTCTAAAAATAGTCTTTTGTCTGCGCCTTAAGTTGTAATGAAGTGCTGTTTTTTTTTAAGTACTATTTTAGATCATCATGAAGACTTTACTAAGCCACCTTAATCTTTTTCCAGCTATCTCTGCTATTGTGCGTTTTGAATTTCTGTTCCTGTACAGTTGGTAATTTGATATAGTGATGGGCCAGAAGTGTCTACAAATTTTCCATTGTCACGTGGCCGGTCTTAAATGGATGATAAAGAGATGGCTGGCTGGTCCTATACACTCACCCAGTGTCACATGAGATTTGGAATCCCATGAAATTGGGTGCCTTTTAATGTTTCATTGGTTGAACATTCCTCACGTAGGCATGCGCAATACTACCAGTAAAATAGTATTTCATATAGTCCAAAATTCACACTACATCAGCCCAGCTGCGTTTTGCGCGACATCGCACAGTAGGTGCGACGTGCACGCCAGTCTTCTAAGGTGAGGAGTTGTAGAGGGACATTCTATATTAAAGTCTGAGGGGTATTTCATAAAACTTGAAGTCAAATTGTTGAACAACAAATTGTTGAACAAAATAGTTGGCAACGTCTATTTTTTAAACACTGTGTGTTACAGAAATTTTATTTTTCCAACTTTCACTCGGGAGGTAACACACTGAGTATACAGTGTTTATACATCAGTGTGAGGCAAAGCCTAATTTGATTTATATCACCCCGATGCAAGAATTCCATCTTATGAATAGTGAATGCAGTACTCACTGCTATGTACATTAGATTCAAACCAGCCAACCGATCCCGTTAGCTCGGTGGCCGAGTGGTAAGACATCTGCGCTAAAAAGCAGGAGGTCATGGGTTCGAGTCCAACCCGAGTGATTTTTTCCAACTTTCACTCGGGAGGTAATACACTGAGTATACAGTGTTGATACGTTGGTGTAAGGGCAATACCTAATTTGATTTATATCACCTTGACGTAAAAAAATCCCATCTTATGAATAGTGAATGCGGTACCCGTTGCTTTGTACATCAGATTTGAACCAGCCAACCGATCCCGTTAGCTCGGTGGTTGAGTGGTAAGATGTCTACACTAGAAAGCAGGAGGTCGTGGGTTCGAGTCCCACCCGAGTGATTTTTTTTCCAATTTTTACTCGGGAGGTAACACAATGAGTATATAGTGTTTATACGTCGGTGTAAGGGCAAAACCTAATTTGATTTATATCAACCAGACACGAAAATTCCATCTTATGAATAGGGAAAGGAATAATCATACATTGCATGCTCGATGCTGTGCTGTGCAGTGTCCACTTGTATAATTTAGTATGGAAGACAACTTTTAAAATACTACATGTTATTGGCTGTTTCAGAAACTTGCTGAAACAGTTTTTGTTTTCTTTTCAGTGCTTATTTTTGGGGGTTTTTGCAAATTTTCGAAAAAGCTTTTGTTTTTGTTCTGATATTGTTGCTTTTTTGCAAATTTGCAAAAAAGCCTAAAGTTGTTTTTGTTCTGATTTTTAGGTGTTGGGCCTTGAGCCCAATACCTATTGTTTTTGTAAGATTTTACTATTTGTATTCTTCTTAGCATATTCTCAGGAATTCGTTTCCGGTACTGTTTGGAGAAATGGAAACATATATGAACTTCATTTGTCAATACATGAAATGCCCGATCCACCGCAGATGGTCTTTTTTGTAATTACATCATCTTGACGTCATCATGGGTCACGTGACGTCATTCGAAAGTTTAATAAATTTAATCTTTGCAATTCCATATAAAATCAACCGTGAGAGACCGGAACCTGAAATTTGCAGGAATCGACATGGTAATACATGATCTTCATTTTATCCTGTGCGCGTAAAATCACGTGACCCTTCCTTCCGGTCGAAACCGGAAGTGCCTTATTATTTGAAATTGGTAGAAGATGCGAACTTGCTTTCAACGATGTGAGTGTCTGCCTAGGCAGTACTGTACAAACATATTACAGGTGATGTCATCAAATGTTAGAGCGCCCTCTAGCGGCAGTTAAAAAAATGTCGAAAACGCATTATCACTTGATGTATGTGACGAAATTTGATGGATGACGTCATCAGACCGGAAGTTATAAAGAAAAGACCTTTAAACCTTAAACAATTGCTAAAAAAATCAACCGTGAGAGATATAATCAAGATGTGGCTATATATAGCAGAGTAAATATAGCTCTGGAGGTTTCTGGCGATGATGTCACAATGACGTCATCAAGTGTCATATTACAAGCAAATAAATATTTCCATATTTAATCTTTGAAAATCAATATGAAATCAACTGCTACAGATTTGATTTTGTTTTATATGGCAATCGATAAAATATTGCAGGGTCTTCATTTTTGGTTTTAAGTGCAAAATCACGTGACCCTTCCTTCCGGTCAAAACCGGAAGTGCCTTATTAATTTAAATTGGCAGAAGATGCGAACTTGCTTTCAACGATTCGAGTGTCTGCCTAGGCAGTACTGTAAAACAATTTTACAGGTGACGTCATCAAATGTTAGAGTGCCCTCTGGCGGCATGTTGAAAAGTCAAACATGGATTTAAACATGTATATTTTGAGTTGATGTGTGTGGCAAAGTTTGCGGTAATCCATGGCCCAACACCGTGTGGTTGTTCCTACAACCTCTAGTTTTTTTTTTATAGTTTTTTTCTTTAGTCCATGCAAAATCCCATAGACTTTGTACACAGTTTTTGTACCCACAACTTTTGGCATTCAAATTTGTCATATATCATTCAAATTAAGCATATGCATTGTCCTCACTGCAAAGTTGTGTTCCGAAGAGTGATGTCATGGCTACATCATCATTGGTCATATGACATCATCACAAATGTCAGTAATTACAATGGAACAGGCTTGGATTTCATGACCTATGCTCTGTTAATTATTCAGGTCAGATGATCCGGCTTTCAACGCCGTAAAGAAAAATGACAAATTGTCACAAAATGTCTGTTGCAGAACATGATTCTTGTGAAAATACATAACTTTTGACTGTGTTCAATGATATTCAGAAGAGATTATCGGCACTAGAAACAAGTGAGATGCAGGCAGTGAGATGTCATCACATGACATGTGACATCATATCAAAAAGTGCATATTTGAATGCCTATATCTACAGAACGTCAGGTCCGATTGGGTTGAAAGTTGGTTATGTATCTAAACCGTAAAGTGTTATAGATGAAAATTGAAGTGACGTCATGTAGACGTCATGGACGTCATATTAGAGGTTAATTTTTCTAAGGAAGGCCTACGTCAGTTTATAACTTGACTTGAACATACATTAACAAAATGCCAAAACAGCCATGTGTTTGTTTACAAACATAAGTCTAGTTTAGTTGTTGCAATTTTATTTCAGAAATCAGATTTTGGCATGTTCTGTTTTTTGGCATGTCCATTTTGTGTTACGCGAGTAACTGTACTTTCAAAAAGTGCCATGCTTAAATGATGGAACATTCAACTTTTGAATGTCATCAGGGAAAAGCCTTGAATATTGGCATGTTTTAAAAAAATTAAAAGAAAATTGACAGTCCAGCAACTATGAAGATTACAGCACTCACAGAATGTAATGCACGTAACTGGAATTGTCCCAAAATGTTTCTTTACCCTTAAATTGGGGTACATGAGTGATACGTTATTTATTATTATGTTTGCCTTTCTTTTATTTGAAGCAATTCATGCTAGGACTGGCAAATTACCACCTCTTCTGGTATATTGTGAGGCTTTGATTTCATCAGTACCGGCTGTTGGTTCACCGCCTGATGCAGAAACATCACTGGAGTGTGTTAAGAGTGCCCTTTCCGAAGATAGGCTTGATCTTGTGATGCATTGGCTCTTGCAAGAAAGGTTTGATTATTTGTTTTATTATACCAAGAATTGTGTGAACAAAATTTACTTGGTTTCCTACTTACTTAAACCCATGGTATCATGAAGCTATTATCTGTGGCCTTTCAGCAAGGGGAAATTGGACCCTCTTGTGGTCATGTATGGGCTCCATCATGGAGCCCATACATGACCACAAGAGGGAGCCTCCATGCACGATCAAGAGAGGGTCTATTAACCACCCTATAGCGCGAGGCACGTACGACTAGTTTTCGGCCCGCCTGGACTTTGTTCAGGAAAGAGACTATGCAATCACTATGTCTGTACATATGTAGTAAATACGTATGTGGTATTTTGTTACAGTTTTGGGGAATCGTATCATTTCAAAAGTTTAAGTTCAATTATAACAAAACTTGAATCATACATGTAGATGCAACAGTTTTCACATTGTAGATGTCAAAGGTCACATACCATGATCAAAGGTCATCCGAGGTCAAGATGTAAAGTAGGCGAGATGTGTGTTTTTTAGAACTGAGTTGTTTTGTGAATGTGCACAATGCAATAGCATATTTGCTTGAGCATCAGGCTTTATCGGAATGCATTTGAATGTAATTCAAAGTGGTCTCCCCTAACTCTCCCTTCTTTACCGTTGAGGGGGTTCTTGTGCACAGAGCACATAGGCACGATACCATTAGCGATTAATGCCACTTAGTATGGGTTTTAAAGGGGCACTAGGTCCTCAAATCTCCGAAAATTTTATGTTTTGGATTGTTTACTTAGACTATTTCAAACATCTGGTTGAAAGGAAACCAACCTAATGTCTTACCGTTCCCGAGAAAAGACCCAAAAAACCCGCTTGTTTACATTGGACATGATGGAGTACGAATACGTTTTTCGTGTCGTTCTCAGTGTACGCTATAACATGTTGTGTGTCTCGGGAACAGCGCGCGGTGACCAATCACCAATGCAAACAATTGTGGTTTCTTCAACGTCTGCAAAGGCGAACACTTAACGCGTACGAATGAAATAACAACTAGCATCCAAACAGCTCGAATTTATGGGGTCGCAAAAGTGGACCCGAAATTCGTTCTCGCACGCATAATACAGGAATAACACAAAAACGCCCAGTTTTGAAAGGATAGTTGTGTGGATGTTTATATCCTACTTTTAAATGTTATTTCCGATCATCATCATCTCGTTCAAAGCGCGTTTTGTAGCCCAACTGGGCTATTCCAGGACCTAGTGTCCCTTTAACACACCACAGTCAAGAGAAAAAAAATGTGTTCAGCTTTAACTCAACAAGTACCTGCTAGTGGAACAGCCAAAGTGGAGTATTACACTTTGGACAGCATTTTGTGGAAAAAGCGGGCAACCATGTCAGATCAATCAGTCAAAGGATGGAGAAGAAAACGTTGGTGGATGCCACCCTTAAGTTTTACCCTAAATATACCTAATTTGCATAAATTGTTAATCCCTGCAGTGTACTGTATTTATTCCCATATTTGGGCATATTCTTTCTTTTATATTTTTTTGAAAAGTTTATTTTGGTGATTCTAATTACACACCCTTACTTAAATGACATTTTCTTAAGCATATAAGTCATTGAATAATCATGAAGACATAGTAACGATCCAAAATGGCTACTATTTTACCCACAATTGCGTGCATTTACCTTGTCTCCAAACCTCAGTATTGATGAGCTTCAAATTCAGCAAGTTGCTAACTGGCACAAATTTTTCTTATTAGAATGGAATATGGAAAATCATGTGAACAATGATAACATTGTGATATGTAGTTCAGCAAACAAAAGCGGGGAAAAACGAGCTGGCTGTCTGTAAACTTGACTTAAATAAGTTCAAAAAATAAAAGTATACCCAAATAAGGGCAAAAATATATTACACGGCAGGTATTAAAGATTCATGCAAATGAAGTATATTTAGGGTAAAAATTAACGGTGGCATCCACCCACATCTTGTTTATTATGGTTCAAAGAATTGATTTAGCATGGATGCCAGCTATTTCCAAAAAATGCTGTGAAATTATTATCTAGAACACTTTTCCACATTTGGCCGCTTTACTATGCTGATCAAGTAAGTGTATTTACTTGTCAAACATTCATATACAATTTTGAACTTTTTAAGATTCTGTTAACGACAGGAAATGCAACTTTCTTTTTTGGAATGAGCCTTGACAACCCCCACAGGTTGCTGTCTCCAGTAACAAAAAATTTCAAGTAAGGATGTTGTGTAATTAACTCAGTGCATGTGTAGTTCATGTGCGATGTCATTTTCATGCATTTTAGTGAACCCCACTTGACAGTGTTTTAGCCAGTTAAGGTTAAATGATATACAGTTGAGATGATTATTACAAGCATGTTTGGGACGAGAAAACAGTTGCTATGAAAAAACATCAGCCCGGTTACATAGAAAAGCATTAATCAACATGTTTACAACTAAGACAATTTGAAAACACCTTTTACTCGATCCCAGTGAATTCAGAAGGAAGGTTGCCAACAATAATTGCACCAATGCTATTCCGTTCATTAATCCTGCGCTGCAGTTTTAAGATATGCACTTGCTGTGTGTGGCGTGCCGCCAGAGGGACTTTTATTACGGTGGGTCCAAGCTGCATGGGGTTTTTGTTACAAACAAACAATGGATAATTACACCTGGCTTTTGTTTGATTAGAAATGCTACCCAATATTTGAATGCAATTAAACAATTGAAAAAAAGAAAGATATATGATCCCGCTTCCTCTGACTTGGATTATTTTGTAAATGCAAGTCCAAGTTAGAGGAGTGCTTGTGCACCTTTTTAACCACGAATGACATCTACAAAGCAGTGAAAAACAATTGTAAAAAAAAAAAAAAAAAATTTAAACGAAGAACAAGAAGAGCGCAATAATAATGCTGGAAAAAAAAATTCTATACAAATTTCAACAATTGCTAAATTTCAACATACCGGTATGTATGCCAAAGATAGAGGGCAGGGTTTTAAATTTTCTGGGAAAGTGATGATAAAGACAACAAAATGCGAAAAAAAGATGTCGATCACAGCGACTCAAAGTGAACATGTTAGAAAATCTAATTCTGTATAAGACTTATTATTTCCAGAAGAATGGTTCCCAAATACAGTGTACTTATGTGCAGAAGCGGGTACCAGTACAATGGACGTGCAAGCATGGTTTTTTCTCGGTTGCCCTTTACGTCCAGTCGGGTGTTGTTTTGTTTGTTTCTTTATTACAAGTTTTACAACTCTACTTTCATATTTATTTCATTTATTACACATTGCAATTCATTATACATTTACAGACATTGAATAATTTGGAACATATAACTTGTACTCTGTACATGAGTGGGAAAAAAATCATTGCAATGCATTATACAAGGTATAAGATAAAATGAATTTTTTTATAGTGTACAAGAGGTCGTATTAACAGCGGTCGACTGTCGTGTCTGTGTATTGTATATCTCTTTTCCATTAGAAAATAAAAGGAATATTACTTCCGTTGTCAAGGAATGTTACTTCCGTTTTCAAACTTCTAATTCGTTCATGCATTCCATTTCTTAACTTTTGTTTCGCACAATCTATAATACAATGGAAAAAAAACATCATTTTATTTTATACAATTGTTTTGTCCTTGCATTACAAATTAATTCTAATGATTGTCATTGTTGGAACAGAAGTGAGCAATGCAATACATGTACATGATTGGTTGTTTTACTTACTTCTGTGTCACAGGTTGACATGTTCGGAGCCTCTTGGTCATCTTCTCTACAACTACACACAAGGAAAAGGTGCAGGAATTATTAGTAAAGGTCTTCCTCTGGCCGAAGCTGTATATACTTTGGTTGAAGCTCACATCCAGGCTGCTGTATGTATGTGCAAGCAGGGGAAAGTGCAAGCCATGATGGATTATGCAATCAACGCAGAATTTGAGAAAGGTGAGGTCTGTAAATTGCCAAGTTTACTAGATGTTCCACTAAGCCTAAGAGCAATAAGAATCTTGACCAACAAATCTGTTAAAGTTTATCATAATTTATTGAAATCAAAATATTTTTAGATTTTATTTTGGGTTGTATCGGGAAGGGAATCTTCCTAAATCATGAACAAATGTAAATATCGTTGGACCTACATGTGTAAGTAACCTGAAGTAGTTTTAACCCCTTAGCCAAAAGGCTGGAGAGGTATTGTCATTGCCTACGACCGTTGGTCAGGGTTTCCGGGCATCCCTCTGTCGACCGTCAGGGCGGATGTTCGTCCAGGCGTCCGCCCTTACCCTGGACCACTCGTGGGGTACTCCACAAATAAAATCTTTAGAAAAAAAGGGTACCCCACATCGAAATCTTTAGAAATAGGGACAATTGGACAACAATGGAGGTACTCCGGAATTCCATCTGGCTGGGAAGTCCGGACAGCTTAGTTTTGGATGATAATTTGAGTTAATATGTTGTTTGGGTTTGTAACTTGGGTAGGGGTTGTCCTTTGCAGTAGGCAAGTAGAGATTGGTTTAAGGTATAAAATGCAAGTTAGAAGTGAGATTTTGGTGTCTAACTTCGGTAGGGGGTTGCCCTTGGGTACAGGCAAGTTGGGATTCGTTTGGGGGTCAAAATATCAAATGTCAAGGTCACAATGGCGAGTCAAAGGTGACTGGTTTTCAGATGATAAGTTGAGTTAGCAAAGAGATTTGGATTTTTAACTTGAGCAGGATTCGTTTTTGATTCATCAGGTCAAGGTCACAGTGGTGAAGTTAGTGGTTTCTGGATGGTAACTGGACTCTGTCTGGGGGGTTGCAACAGCAACGTGGTTACTTTTAGTTCCGGAAACCTTTTTTAGGGGCTGTGGAAAAGCCTTTCTCTTTGTTCTGATTTTCTTTTCTTCTTCCTCTGCTTTTCGTACAATGCAAAATTCCTTGGACCTTTGAGCACATTTTTTCTTGAGGCAACTTTTGGCACTCATCTTTCTCATGCAGGGCGATTCCACGGTTACTTGCATTACACTTTTTTGCACCCTTTCGTGTTCCGATTGCTGTGGTTTTAGCAGGAGTCGGACTATCTATCTCTTATGCTGCATAAATATACCCTATATTCGAGGCTTCATCCTGATGGTAAAAAATCGTACCAGAAAAGAAGGGTTTTGGTTACTCGCATTACAGTTACTCGCATTACAATTTGGTTCATTTGGTTGGGAAAAAAATCAAATCTTAATCAGAGCAGGTTTAATTCAACCTAAATCATTTGATCAAACAAAACAAATGGCCAGGCTATACATTTAAATCAATTAATCATTCTTTAAGTATCAGTATAATTAAAAGATTACCACTCAATCTTAATTTGTCTTTTAGAAAAGTTTGATTGTGCTCAGCACAGGCCTATTGAACATGCTATGTACATGACACTATAGTAACTCTAAAAAATTCATTTATGTATTTTACTGATAACATTCCCTCATCAACTCTCAAAATTGCTCTGTTTGTACATCAACATTAGATTGATTGTACACAATGTGATTTTAGGCAGATTATGAACAACTTTTGATGTAGGCCCTATAAATTGTAATACTGTTCAGATATGTATACCACAGATCCTAGTCTGCATCAATTTACATTTTCAAGGGGCATCTTCTTCTTCATTTATTCATTTTCATGATGAGTTGGGCCCAACTGTCCCTGTCAAGAATAGTGTTGGAAGAGATGGGCCACTCAGACCAGTTTCCAGCTCGATGGATGTTTTTTGGGTCATGTTTGGACGACCTTTTCGTCGAGGGGCTTCGGGATTCCAGAGGAGAACTTGACTAGCTGGCTCATTATGTCGATTAACGTGACCGGCTAGCTGAAGGCGACGCTGTCTGATGGTGGTGGAGATAGGGGGAAGGGCACCATACAGAAGAGAGTTAGGGAGTTGTTGTTGTCAAGAAACGTTCTGAACAGCCCGCAACATCCGTGTATAGGTGGCATTCAATGGATGCAGAGATCTTTCTGGTCAGGTTCCAGGACTCGCAACCGTAGAGGAGGATGGATTCTACTGAGGTCTTGAAGATCTTAAGTTTGGGGATCGAGGGTCTCCATACTTTGGTCAGTGAGAACAGAGCAGACCAAGCTTGAGCTACACTCATGTAATTGAGCTGTGTTGGTGTAGGAGCCCAGATACTTGAAGTCATCAACTTTATCAAGCTTACTACCACCTAGTGCAGTGACGTCGTCAGAGGTAAATGGGTTGATGACCATGTACTTAGTCTTCTTTGCATTAAGAGAGACCAACGGACTTGCAGCAGGCTTCTACTTTATGGAGGAGAGATTCGGTATCAAGGAATTCTGAGAAATTTATCAAACTTGTTGGTGGACAATGTTCTTACTAGGACATGGGATGTAGAAAGAGGAAAAAACATGAGAGTACTTCATGTATCGACTTCTGTCTTTAGTTCCCTCAAAATGTCACATTTTGTTACCGTTTGTATGTGGAAAGACCCCTAGGTCTATATCAGTTTTATACAACATTTACATGTATATCTATGCCAAGACTGTTTGTGATATTAAGTGACATTACTGCATTAATAATGTTCTTAATACATTGAATTGTAAGTGACATTAGTGCATTAATAATGTTCTTAATACATTGAATTGTCATGTTATGTGCTCATCTTTGAAAGTCTTACTGACTTCAGTGGTGTGTTCAATGTCAAAGCAATTAAAAGGGGAAAAAGGGCATTCATTGCGCAATAATACTCACTGTCCACTGTGCGTGCAGTGCAGATTGAGTTTTTTGGGTGGGGTGGGTTTTTTTTTCATGCTAGATACCCACTTCCTATACAAAATATCCCCCAAATGACCTAATGCATCACCTCTGAAGTGGGCGCAATCATATTCCAAAATTTTAATTTTCATCCCAATTATCAACCCCGCTATTAAAAAATAAAAATTTAATTAAACAAGTCCAAAGATTGGGCACATTTTTAAACGTAAACATTTCGTCTCTGGTGAATTAAAATTCACCAGAGACGAAATGTAACAAGAACATTAAAACGAATGACAAAAAAACGAATTTGCTTTTTCAATTCAACGCCAATTGCTTCACGAGACGAATTTCAAAGATTTTGGACGAATCAAAATGCTAACAGTTTGAATTATACTGAACCTTGAATCTAGTGGTGGAGTTTTGGAATTCAAATTGAGAATTGAGCTTGGCGGTGTTCGGGGGAATTCGTGTGATACAAGTATTAAAATAGCCGGGAAAACTTATATTACAGTGGTATTTTGTACAAAACTTCACCAAGTTATCAGACATCATATAATTGGAAGTTTTTCTTGGACATCCTTTGATGGTGATAACTCTTACGAAGCCTTTCTTAAGCTGTCTTCGATGACATATATGCACTTTTCCTTTTAATTGATGGCAATCTGAGAAAGTCTGCTTCAATCATCCTCAGTGTAACAGGAATGGTAAAAAAATAAAAATAATCAGCGACAGTGACCAATTTTGTGAAAAGGTTCTATTTGGAGAATTGCGCCACTTTCCAATTGTGGTACAAGTTGTGCCAATTGTCTCAGTGAAAAGGCTATGAAAAGGCAATCAAGGCAGGCGGGGAAAAAAAAGAGATTTCGCCAAAGATTGGGCGTATTTTTTTGTTCGTAACGTTTGAAAGTCACCAAAGGTGAAATGTAATGTCAACAACATTAAAATTAATGACAAAAAATGAATTACTTTATCAATTCATCGCCGAGTGCTACACGAGACGAATTTCACAAATTTAGGACTAATCAGTATGCTAAAAATTTGAATTATACTGAACCTAAAATGAAATCTAGTGGTGGCTTTCTGAAATTCAAATTGAGAATTGAGCTTGGCGATGTTGAAGGACGAAATTAAAGTATCGATATAAGGAATTTGTGTGGTACAAGTGTTAAAATAACCGGGAAACCTATTATAATAATAGTGAAAATTTGTAAGGTGCCGGTATCCGCCAAGCAAGACGCTCATGTATAAATGTGCATGTAACAGAGATGGAAAGCAATTAGGACAGTACATAAATGTTGAAGAGAAATTTTGAACAAACAATTTTTGCAAATCTTAAATCTGTGGACATAGTAAATTTCACCAGGACAAAGTTGCCTGTTTTGAAGAGCTCCCTCTCTTGTTTTTTTTGTTTAGATATGTATATGGGTGTTCTTGTAGCCTGCCCATCAATTGCACTCGCGGAGGTCCTCATCCAGCCAAGGGGCCCGCCAGGGAAGCCTACTCTTTCGGTTGGTACTGTAGTATTTGAACTTCTCCAAACTGAGAACTATGCAATTGGAGTGCAGCTTTTGGACAGAGTATACCGTAGCATTCAAGCAGGTAAATTAACATATTACAGACTAATCAAGGGACGTGAACGCACAAAGGTCCCTTCAATGGCCAAACATTATGCTATTGTGCAATTGTTTCTGCCCCATGAAGCATTATCTGAACAAATAGCTAGCATTGACGTCATTGTGTGTCACATGACAACACATTAAAGAGGATTTTTTTCAAATCCCTATTCACGTATGTTCATGCCAATGCAATTGTGCACCATTGATTAAGACAGTGGTTTTTATCGATGGTAATTACCATTGAACTAACCATAGATTTAATACCATTGATTTACCATTGGATACCATTAATAACCATTGCAATGGTGTTTTGGAACGCTACCATTGGAATACCATTGAGTTTACCATGTGTATTATTTATAATACCATTGGATCCACTGAATGGTATACTATTGATTAAACCATTGGTACTACTTAATGGTTTACCATTGAATGGAATTTACATTTCCAGCGTTTCGAAGTATAGCGGGAAATAATTGTCTTAGGAATTCGAGCAACGCATTGCAGGTGAATGGTTACGTAATAGAGCGTTGGAAGGTTTAAATAGAGAAGAAAAGAGTATTGAAATCAGTTCTAGCAAGCACTCCACACGAGGCATACATACGCAATCATCATTGAGCAACAACAGCTACAGGCGCACGCCAGCACTAAATTCATTGAAGACCGAGTCCGACAGGCCGTGGCCGGTTCGCAAGCTGCCCTTTTGGAAAAGCTTTGACGGCCTAATAACGTCGAAGCAAAATAAACAGTAGTCAAAAAGAAATATCTGATAGCCAGCTCACAAAGATTCAAGGCAGTATCTTGGCCAACGATGGTTACACCTTCAAACGCAAGAATTGTGAAGATCAGAGTTACATCTGGAGGGCGGGGCTAACATCCAGCAAGCATCAAAAGACATATCCGAAGGTATTTGAGCTATCACAGACAAAATCTAGTCAGAATGTCAGATGCATCAGAGCTGGATCAGATGGAGAATTGTTAAGGAGTATGAAACCAAACCACTTGCTTCGGATTCAGAAAATGAGAAGATGTACAGGACTGAAGCCAGGGCCTCTAAGAAGCTCAAGACAGAACAGGCGAAGAGCAGGAAAACCACCAGATATTCGTCATGGCCATCGGAGCAGCGTACTTCGGCGGTTTCGTCAGCGACGGTACCACAGTCGGCAAGGGCAAGGGTTGTGGTCAAGCCGGTCATTAGAAGTACGAATGTACAAGCAAGGGCGGATGCTGCCAAGGCAGTTAAGATAAGTGATCTTGTAAAGTTTTCAGATTTTGAGGTAGAAGACATAGGTAGGATAACAATATTGTACAGGATGTACATTGATGTCGGAGAGGGTAAGCGTCAACTAACTGGACCTCATCTAAGGACATTTCCTTAGATGAGGTCCAGTTAGTTGAGGGCAGTGAGGTAGTAGGGTCATGGGACAAAATACAGTCCCAGAGTAGCTCCACTTGGAGAGAGATGGAGGCAGTACACAGAGTTCTCAAAAGTAATGAGATTTTGTTAAAGAATGAGAGAGTTAGATGTTTCAACGATAACAAAAATGTTAAACAGGTGCTGAATAAGTAAGAAGTCCAGCTTACAAAACATCTCTTTGAATGTGAACAGATTTTGTGAAAAGAATTCTATAATTCTCAAACCAGAGTGGATCCAAAGAAATAACAACACCAAAGCTGATTTGTTGAGTAGAACCAGGGACAGCGATGATTGTAAAATACAATCAAAAATGGGTGTATTGATTATTTGGTAAAGAATGGGGACCACATAGCGTGGATAGATTTGCATCCAATTTGAATTAACCAGTGGAAAAGGTTCAACTCTAGATGGTGGTGTCCGGAAACGGAAGGAATAGACGCTTTTCGGTCAGATGTGGGCAAATTAAGTTAATTGGTTAGTACCCCCACCCAGGTTAATTCAGAGAGTATTGTTGAAGATGGAGGTGGAAAAAGCGAAAGGTACATTGATTGTTCAGATGTGGGTGTCGGTACCGTTTTGGCCATTTTAGGTAGCGGAAAGTAAAGATTTCAAGTCATTCATAGAGAAGAGTATGATACTGCCACAACAACAGGTGATCCTTGAAGGTCAAGGTTGTAATGGCATATTTTTAGATGAACCATAACAATTCAAGCTGATCGCTTTGAAGCTTGTTTTCTGAATTTCAAGTTTCATTGTAATTGCTGGAGGGAATGTTAATGCTGATTTTGAATTTTTCCAACAGATAGGATTGAGGTTATAACGTCTCATAGTCAGGTGGCTTAGATCTAATTTTCGTCAAGATCGTGACCGACTGGTCCAAAGCACCAAACTTGGCAGATAGATTCTTATAGACCTAGAGAAGATATTTAGAAGGGTGACACCTGAAATTCTTTTGGGAATGGTGCCTAATTTGCATAAATCGTTAATCCCTGTCGTGTAATATATTTATTCCCATATTTGGGTATATTTTTATTTTTTTATTTTTTGAAAAGTGTATTTTGGGGATTCTACTTACATATCTTTACTTAAATAACATTTTCCAAAGCATATAAGTGACTGAGTAATTATGAGGACATAGTAACGATCCAAAATGGTTACTATTATGCCCTAAAATTGCGCACATTTACCTTGTCTCCAGATATCATCAATTAGTCTTGCCAAACATCAGCATTGATGAACTTCAAATTCACCAAGTAGCTTACTGGTACAGTTACACTATTAAATCATGTGAACAATGATAACATTGTGATATTCAGCCCAGAAAACAAAAACTGGGAAAAAACGAGGTGTCCATAAATTAGGCTAACAAGTGGGTGAAGGTTTGCCTAACATGGAACACTGGAACAAGTTCAAGGAAAATCCCAAAATTATTGTTGAGAAAACGTTTTGGCGTGGACAAAATTATTGTAAACAACATAATCTCTTATTTAGGGGGATTTCGTTGAACTTGTTGAAGTCAACCCTTCCCGTACTAGCCCAATTTACGGACACCTTATTTCTCCCCTTTTTTGGTCTTTTGGGCTAAACATCAAGATGTTATCAATTTTCACTTGATTTCCCACTTATTTTTGTTAGGGTAACTATGCCAGTAAGTCACTTTGTGAATTTGAAGCTCATCAGTACCCACGTTTGGCGAGACTAGTTGATGATATCTGAGGAAAAGGTAAATGCGCGTAACTTTAGGGTAAAATACTAGCAATTTTGGTTCTTTACTATGACCTCCTAATTATTCAGTCACATATGTTTTACAAAATGTTATTGAAGTAAGAATATGCAAGTAGAATCACCAAAATACACTTTTCAAAAAAATAAAAAATGAAAATATACCCAAATATGGGAATAAATATATTACACGGCAGGGATTAACGATTTATGCAAATTAGGCACCCTTCCCAAAAGAATTTCAGGTGTCACCCCTTCTAAATATCTTCTCTAGGGCTATAAGAATCTATCTGCCAAGTTTGGTGCTTTGGACCAGTCGGTCACGATTCCGACCATATGCCACCTGACTATCAGCAGCTTTGGAGACAGCGGGGGTGGTGGGTGACAAAAAAAAACGACCGGATGTGTCAACACTTGATGTCTTCCAAGAGTGACGCTACGGTCAAGAAATACATCAGGAGTTTCAAGAAATGGCAGAGTTTTTGTGCCAGGAGCAGATGCACCTAATTACCAGCCCAGCTAATTCTCATCGCAGTGTATCTAACGGAGCTCCTTGACTTGGGGGCTTCTTCATCACGTTATTGCATCAGTATTATACGGCATTAAATGGGCCCATGAGATGAATGGGCCCAACGAATAACTCATTCGTGAAAAACCTTCACGAATCGATAAACGCACAACAGGTCACAAGACACAGAAGAAAGATGTAGTTTCGTCCGATATGAAAGTAGAGCTTTGTGATAGAAATTCTGAAGAAACAGATTTGTTGGTAATTAGATATTTATGTATGATAACCTTAGCATTGCAGGTTTCTATCGGTTCAATGAATTGAGCTCATTACGTTTACTGAATAACTATGTTTGGAGATTTTTTCACTGTTGCGGTGACAAAAAGCAAGACGGATCAATATCGTTGCGGTAAAGAAGTAGTAATTTCAAAACGTTCCACTTCAGCATGCCCTTTTAAAATGTTGCTAAGATATATGTCAGCTGCAGGTATGGATAATACAACTTCAGCTTACCGCTTTTAGATCAAAGGATGGTTGTAAACTAATTTCCAAAGATAAAAAGTCAAGTTACACAAGAGCCAAGTTACACAAGAGCCAGGGAGTGTATAATCAAGATGTTATCTTCTGTAGCTCCCAACCTAGATTTAGGTTTACATTCCCCAAGAGCGGGAGGAGTAACGGCCAGGGCCAGCAACGAGGGACAAGAGCGCTGTCTAAAGAGACATGCGCGCTGGAAACAAGATGAGAGGTAGAGATGGATATATAGAAGACTCACTTGAAAAGAGGTTAGAAGTGACCCAGAAACTGGGTCTTTAAGAACAAATTTCTGTTAGATTATATTTATTTGAGTTAACCTTTCATAATCTTTCATGTCTTAAGAATTCGAGCAACGCATTGCAGGTGAATGGTTACATAATAGAGCGTTGGAAGATTTAAATAGAGAAGAAAAGAGTTTTGAAATCAGTTCCATCAAGCACTCCACACGAGGCACACAGACTTAAATTTTTGGGAAATTTTTATTTAATAGTTTGGAAAATTTTGAGTACTTGTATAATTATGTTAGGGTGCAGCCCAACACCCTCGCCGAGGAGAATTCTGAATGTTTTTTGGGTACAGGTTTTCCAGAGCATTTAAAAATGTTATATCTCGGGTTTTTTTGCCTGGAAGTCAACTTCTCCGATGAAGCGTTTGAGTTCAATAGTTAAAGCTATTACAGCATGACGATTGGGATCGTTCAGTGAGAGTTTTACCAATTGTATTAATATATAAATACAGAGCATCAAGTCGTGGCCAGTCGTAGGTTGAAATCCTACGGAGGAATGTTTATAGAAAGAATTTTGGTAGTCAAATCGTACCCACTACTGTTGCACAATGTTGACGTAGCAGCTGCAATTCATACAGATTATCAAGTTGTATTAACTTTCCAAATGTACAGATGTGCAAGTCCCTAATCATTCAATAAATGGTGAACTCGTGTCTCCTGTGCTTTGCTTATCCCACTCGATGGTAAACCATGGAACATACCATTGGTTTAACTCAATTGTAAACCATTGATTAAACCAATGCGCAAAACTGAATTTGTTGTCATCTATTTTTTTTCTAGCTTTTTATGTTCCTATCTTCTTGGACTCCAGGTCGTTTGCTCTTGTTACAGTCAAATATACTCCATCACTTACTGTCTTGTCTGTGGTGTCCAGTGACTTGGATCTGTTATGGAGGACCAAAAAAAGTGGACAACCCATTTTGGGGGGCGAGGGGGGGGGGGAAGAAATAAGTGGTATTGCAATAAAGGTTACTACTGCGTATTGATAAAATTCATCAACGCAGAAGAGTTTTGATGTTCATCAGTGATGATGATAAGTTTAATCGTGGGGCACATCTCAACATTGTTTCAGTTTTGCAACATTTTCTTTTCAACAACTTGATTTTCTACTGGTAAACAAAAAGTAAATTTTTTGTTTAGGAAATCAATCGTTCTTTTTTTTGGTGGAGAAAATACGAAGTGGCTTCGTATTGTTGTGTAGATCCGAGACCACTGAAGTTGTTTTGTATGTTTTAGAAACTGCTGTTTACTTTTTTCCAGTTTTCAGTAGGATTTTCAGGAGGAGTATGCTCTTGTTCTGACACCATGTAAAGATCTAAGAATTGTACGAAGTGTTGTACTAAGTGTTGCTGAATTGTTTACCTAGACCAGGAATTTTCGCAATTAAATATTATTAATTACATACTGAAGCCTTTGATCTTGGTTGCATCGATATTAAACGGAATTATCACAAATTTTGGATCATATAAAAGTTAAAAATCCAGTTAAAAAGTGCTCATTTTGTAGAAGCCATTAAGCACATTTTGTGGGAGCCATTCGCGAACACAATTTCTCCGTTATAATATTTTCCGTTTACAAATTTTT